GGTCACTCCTCTGCAGAGCCAGTGTAGGTCAGAGGTGATGCTGTTCTATGATGGGGTCCAGAGGAGACCTGGGAGGATGGCCAGAGGGGCCAGGACTTTGTCTATCTGACCAACTGTGGACTGAACTGTGTCTCCCTCAACTTGAGCTGTTGAAGTCCTAACCCCTAAGACCTCAGCATGTCACTGTATTTGGAGATAGGGTCTTTAAAGAGGTAATTAAGGTAAAGTGAGGTCACTAGGATGGGCCCTAATCCAGTATGACTGTGTAAGGAGAGGAGATGAGGACACAGATACACACAGAGGGAAGACCATGTGAAGACACAGGGAGAAAACGGCCAACTGCAAACCAAGGAGAGAGGCCTCAGGACAAACAGCCTGCTGGCACCGTAACCTCCATGCCCCAGAATTACGAGATAATACACTGCTGTTGTTTAAGCCCTCAGTCTGTGGAACTCTGCTATGGCAGCCCTAGCACACTAATACACTGGCCAAGGACTTTTGTGGTGTTTTCTGATGCAAGAGGTAGGCAGGGGTAGTTTGGAGGTGTCAATACGCGGTTTGCACAAACATTTGGTTTGAGGAAACATTGGGACTCAGACATCACTTTGGAGTCTGATCATTCTTCTTAATGTGAAATCTCCTCTTCCTCTTCCACTCCTGTCCTGAATAATTGGTTTAAAGCCATTAGATGGGACCAGGCAAGGCAGGCAGATGCCTTGAGGCGGGGCTGGGCTGCAGTAGCCCCGAGTGGGGTGTTGGAGCCTGCACTGGGTGAGGAAAAGTCTGAGCAGGGGCTCTGGTGGTCCATCCAGGGATGTCGCAACCCAAACAAGGTGAGGACGCCTACGGGGCCGGGGCAGCGGGGGCAGTGGGAGACTGGCTACTGATGGGACTGAGCAAGTAAGTCTGTACACAAAAGGGCAGCAGGAACCAGGCTTCTCACTGTTATCGAAGCGGGTCATAGGGAACGGGGAAAACTAGGAGTCTCTGATTTTGGGTTGTGATTGGAGCTGTTGGTGTAAACTTGTGCTTTTCTGCCTATACAGGTAGAAATAGACATACACAGGGGTCTGAACTCGGCGTCCGCTGAGCAGGCCCACAGGAACGAGTGCACCCCGGGCTTCGCAGGAGGCACTCAGAGCTCCCTTTTGCCGGCCCTCCCGGCTTGTCAACTTGGTGGTGCTGGCCCCACTGGCCCTGCTACATGCAGCGCTGCTGCCATCTCGTGGTCGCTGTGGGACACTGTCCTGAGCCAGGGTCAGCCTTGGAGAAGGGGTTGGGGGGCTTTCCCAAAGCTCCCCACTGTGCGTCAGCAGAGCCCGATCCAGGAGCAGTGGGCAGATCCTGCCTCTCTCTCATTGCCGGGATCAAGACACTCTGGCCCCACTCAGGGGTAGCAGCTCAGAGGGGCACAAGGGCCCTGTTGCTGGAACTGCTGTCTGGGAGGCAGCGAGCACCCTTGAGAGCTGGAAGAGCAATACCGGAGGCTGAGCTGGGGTCTCCGAAATTACTCAGGAGTTGGCGGGGCAGTGCCCCTGGCTGGGTGTCAGATGCAGAGGCCGTTCTGGATGGAGGGGGTACCATCTATGACAACATGTTTGGAACATTTCCTTGACAGATGTTGTGCTACTGGTCCTCTCAGTTAACCCTCATAACAACCCTATGAAGCAGCAACTGCTATTAGCTGTTGAGGCACAGAGAGGTTAAGTAATTTGCCTAAGGTCACACAGCTCAGAAGGGTAGCATCATGATTTGCTGTTGTATGACAACTGGAGAGGCTGGATGTTGACACTGGGATTGTGGGGTGGGGTCAGCACCCAGGCCCAGGGTTGGGTCTTGGTGGGGGGTCAGGGAAGCCGGGAGGGTGCAAAGCAGGTGGAGGCCCTGCTAAGGGGCTTCTAGGCAGCTCTGGTCAGACCTTCCTCCAGGCTCCAGGGACTGCTTCCCAGGCGGCCCCTCCCTACCCACCTGCCTGCCTCCACTCAACCTCCCTACACCCCTGGCCAGGTGCCATTTCTGAGGCAGAGGGCCCTGCAGGAGCCACAGGCGCCTGGTTAATCCTGACATGGGGGCCGCAGCCCAAGGCTCCCGCCTGCAGCTGGTCCTCTTTTACGTGGGGCCGCATGACTTCCCATTGCTGTGATTGGCCCAGGACCTGTGGCCTCAGACACTGCCTGGTGCCAGGAAACCCAGCCTGGCCAGCACCGGTGGCTCCTGCCGGGGCTCCCTCGCCCAGCCCAGCCCAGCCCAGCCCCAGATGCCTTCTCTCTGGAGGGGTCCTCAAGGTGGGACCGTCCAGAGCTGCGCCCTCCGGGGAAGCCTGGACACCTTCACGGCAAGGTTCTTTGGGCAGGCCTCACCTCACTAGCCTTGGGTCCTGGTCAGAGGCCCTCCCCGGCCTCCTAGCCCGTCACTTGGCATTAGTCTCTCTTTCCTTCATTTCAGAGCAGGTGGCACATTTGCAACTTACACCTGTCTATATTGCCCCCTTCCCTCCACATGACCCATTCACCTCTGTATTCTCAGCACCTAGAACCATGCCTGGTGTGCAGCCGGCGCTCCTACCCACACGCAGCAAAGAACAGGTCACTTGGCAACTTTAGCCATTCACAGGCCACGAGCCCCTGAAGCCACCCACTGAGGGTTCCCTGGCTCACCGTCTCTCACCTGGAGGAGGGGCAAGCAGAGGGGAGAGGCAACGGTGCCGAGAGGAACAGGTCCCCCTCTTCCCTTCCTGGCGTCCCCCGGCCTCAGTTTCCCACTTGTAAGCAGTGGTCAAAACCATCAACCCCGCAGGACCATTGTGAGGCATGGAAAGGCCCAGGCCAGGTAGGGCCCACAGCAGCCATGTGGTGGGGATGGAGGGGAGGACCTGGGAGAGCTGGGGGGCTGCAGGGAAAGGGGAGAGGCCCCCAGTCTCCCAGGGGTTCAGGTCAGGTCCCAGGGCAGATGGCTGGAATGGCCGTGTGAGCAGGCGGGACACCTGTCTGAGCTCAGCGGCACAGCGTGCACCACCGCGCGTGTGTGAGCACGAGTGGCAGCCGTCCAGCCTAGCCAGCGGTGGGGGTGGGCAACCCACCGAGTATCCCCCATAGTCCTCTTGTCTGACCGCCAGGTGCTGCCAGCCTCATGATACAGGTGCACATTGTGAAAAAGCTGGTCACCAAACCCAGGTGCTTTAAGGACCCTCACAGGCTATGTAGTCAAGCACAGACTTCGGCTCCCAGCTCCAGACGCTGGTGGTCTGGTGTGTGGTGGCTGGCCATCGGCCAGAAGCGGCCAGAAGCAGAGGGGGAAGGGGCCTCTGGAAGCGACCTGCTGTCATGAGTGCTGACGGGAGGAGGCGGCCGGGCCAGCAAGATAAAGCAGTCTGGGGAGTCGGGCTGCGGTCCCCAGCACCCAGCTGCCTCTGCGTGACCTAAAGCAGAAGATGGTGGGGGTGCTGGTGGCCGTGTGACAGCACGGTGGTACACCAAGTTGGGCTTCTTCCCAATTTTGAGTCCCAGCAGCCTGGGTAGGGCTGGCAAGGCTCCACCACCTCGGCACAGGCGTCACTGCTGAGTAACTAGGCAAAGGTGGACCATGTCCAGAAGATGCTTAATACCTCGTTAAAACCACAGCCTTCCCCTTACCTGGGCGAACACAGCTAATTTACGCAGGATGTAGACGGTAACCTTGAGTTTGGACCAGCTGAGCTTGTTATGACTGACGGGTGAGGGCCCAGGGCGCCTCCATCTCCTGAAAAGCTGTCCGACCAGGCCGATGGCTGGCTACCCAGGGGACAGTGATATGGCTGCTCCCCTTGGGCAGGGATGGCGGGGAGAGGAAAAAAAGGTGGTTTAGGTTGGGGAAATGGGTCAGATGTCACGTTCAGCCGCCTTTCCTCCAGGCTGGCTCCTCTGCAAAGCTCTGAATCTCGGCCTAGACGATAAGGCCCCTCCTCCCTGCTTAGGGGATGGACAAGCCTCCCATCCCCGTCCCGTTGTACCCGCCTCCCAGCTGCTTCCCTTGCCCCAGCTCCACCTGGAGGGCTGGCTGAGCCTGGTCTCCTGTGTGCACGGCTCTAGGCCACGCCTCAGAACGCACGTACAGCCCGCCCGCTGCTGATGGGAGCTGGGGGCTGCTCAGAGACCCAGGTGAGCCCCACTCCAGCTGCCCAGGTCCCCTGGACCCAGGCATTCAGACTTCTGCTGTCCTTCATGGGCTGACCTTTCAGGCAGATCAACTGTTCCAGCCCCCTTCCTTCCCACCACCGAGTGCTGGGCCAGGGGGCACCAATGTGCCTCAAGCAGTGACTCCCGGGGAGCCTGGTGTGAAGATCCCAGACCAAAAAAGGTGGTACCCCGAGACCTGGGGTGGCTGAACTGCCACGGAGATAAGAACTGACACCCGCGCCTGACCTGTGTGCCCAGGCATCCACACTGAGCCTCAGTGTTGTCATCTGAAAAATGGGGACGACGCACTGATGCATGAGGAAGTGCCCAGCACCTGATAAACAGCTGCACCTGGGGCGGCTCACGTGACCCACTGAGTCACAGACTCAGTAAAACAAGATGCAACTCTGCTCCGCCCAGGGTTGTCGAGACGATTCCACGAGCCCACGTATAGCCTGGTACAGCGCCTGGCACCTAGGCCTCAGATGGGATGGCCGTATCCTCCCTGCAGGCTCACTGCCCCACCATCCCCACACCTGCTCCGTCTCTGTGATCACAGTGCTACTGCTGCTGGGCAGGAGCTGGCCTGAGTGCTGACGGCAGTGTGAGGTGCTGAGGATGCAGATGCGTCACTCGTGGAGAGCAATGGGGCCACTTGGCAGGCAACGCGTGGTTGGAGCCTGTGCTGGTGTGAGCTGCGGCTGGGTGCCCAGGCCTGCTGCTGCACCTGCCTCGCCTGCAGATGCCCATCTCATGGGCGGCCCCCAGCCCAGCCCAGCCCAAAGGAGTCCCTGCCTCTGGTGAGGCCAAGAAGTCACCTCCTCCTGGAGACTGAACACTGCTAGCAGGATGCTTTTCTACCTTTAATTGGGGATACAAAAGGCACCTCTCCCAGGACAAGAGGATCAACCAACAGGTGCGGAGGCCCAGTGCCTGGTGGAGCCCTGCGTGGGAGGAACAGAGGAAGGACGGAGGGCAAGGAAGTGGAGGTCCTGGGGGCCACAGGTGCCCCAGGCATCCCTGGAAGCCTCCCCTGGCGGCCTGGGCCTGGTGAGGTCTCCCCCAACCACGTGCAGCTTCACATCTGGACAGTGTGCGCTCAGCAGAGGGCCACACGCCCTGCCCTCAACAGCTGGCCAAAGCCTTCGGGCTCCAAGGCAGGGCCTGGGGAATGGACCTGAGGCTGCGACAGAAACTTCTGCTGTCTCCAGCCCATGGCCAGGCCTCGACTGTCAGTGTGGGCTCGGAAGAGGGCTCCTCTGGGCATGGGTCCAGGGAGGGGCAAGGGGGACTCACGCTGGGGCAACCAAGCAGCCGGCCTTGTCTGTTCCGGGGCCTCCGGGTTCTCAGCAAAGTCGCAGTGGTCAGTTGGGGTGGGAGGGGAGGCAGGGGTGTCCAGGGTTCCGAAGTGCAATTGACCTGTTCCCCCAATTCATCCGGCTGCCCCCCACACCCCCAGGCAGCACGGCCCCAACCTCAAGGGGGAGAGAAGGGCATACCTAACAAGCCACCCCCAAAGCAGCCGTAACACTGAAGGAGAGACAGGTCCCTGCCGCGGGATGTGGGAGCAGCGGGGGCTCGGGCTGCAGGGTGCCAGACCCCACACTCATAAGGCAAACAGCATGTCGTCATCTTTCTCCTGGGTCTTCTTTCGAGGGGCACTGCCAGGCGGGGGACCCGGCGGCCCCTCGGCTGAGGGGCTGGAGACGTTGGGCAAACGGTCGGCCACTTTGGCTCGTTCTTCCAGGAACTTGTCAAATTCTGGAGGAATGAGAGGGAGGCTGCAGGTGGGCTCGGAGGCTGGAGCGGGGCAGGGGTGGGCAGGGCCAAGGTCTACTACCTTCACTGGTGACGCCCTTGGGCTCCTCCGCATGGTTCCCCTGATAAAGCAGAAGGTGAGGTTAGCTGCAGGCACTGCGAAGCGGGCTGGGGCGCAGGCTGCTGACCCCGAGGGGTCCAGACGTCGGCCCCACCCCTTCCTGAGCCCCAGGCCTTGGCCTGAGCCACTGGACTTCTCTGAGCCTCGCTTTTCTGCTTGGTGGCACTCACAGGGTTGTCGGGAAGCTTTAACAGAGCAGTACTTGCAGAGGGCCAGGCACAGGGTAGGGTGCCTGGTGGGCCCCTGACAATCGCTAGTCCCTTCCTTCCAGTGTCTAGAGGGGTGGGCAGACTCGCCTCATGGTGGAAAGGCTGACACCCAAGCTTGAGGCCACGCACGCTCACCCTGGGGGCTGGGGAGTGGATAAGCCTTCACCCACCAGATGAAACGGATGGACCTTCTCCTGACCTTGGGCAGAAACATGGTCTTGGCCACTTGCAGAAGGAGGCCCCTAGGCCTGGAGGTGCCCAGGCACTTGATCCTTGGTGCCAAGAATGGGGGTGGGGCTCTGGAGACTGCCGCCCCCCACCGCAGGCGTGGCACCACTCACAGCTGTCTATCAGCCTCCTGACCTGCACGAGGGGGCTGCCGAGCTTAGTGCTCCCATGGTCCCGGCTGCCCTCGGCCCACCTGTCCTGCCCACAGTGGGACCTCGATCGGCAGCAGGCTCGGGGGAGGGAAGGCTCCAGAGGCTGCGAGGGGTACGGGGCCGGGCCCTCCTCTAAAGGGAAGAGCTGGGGGAGCGGCAGGGGAGGGGACACCAGCCCCCCTAACGCCCTCTCCTCACCAGTCGCTCATCCTGACCCCGCCCCCCATCACCTCCTCATGAGACAACGGGAGCCCCGGGTCAGGTGGGCGAGGAGGGGGCCGGACTTACCACGTCCGTGGACAGCCACTGCTCGATGTCTTCCATGAGGCAGGCCTGGGTGACGGGGATCTGGAGGGAAGGGCAGCGGGTGAGGGCAGTGCGCCTCGCCGGTCTGGGGCCCACTGGCCGCGGCCTGGGGCAGTTGCCCACCCCTGGGACTCCTCCCTCATGCGATGGGGCCAGTCGGACCTGCCCTGCGCCCCCGTCCCCGGCAGTCCCTCCAGGATGGCTCCTGCCCAGCTGCCTGGGACCCCAAGTTCTGCCCGCTGTGCCAGGCTGTGGGCAAGGGGGAGGTGGGGCCAGCAGGCTGAGCAGGGGATGGGGAAGGGCTCCTGACAGCTGGAGCAGGGCCACAAGGAGAGAACGGACCCCGGCTCCTACAGGCCAAGGGTGCGGGCTTGTTGCGCAGGCCCAGGGCCGGGACCAAGCACAGGTGCTCAGGGGCATCTGACACAAGAATATTCACAGTCCAGGGAGCGGCCAGAGAGCAAGGCTGAGGCAGGGGGCACGACTGCATGCTGTCCCCCTACACCTCCGCAGACTCAGCGTTCGTGGTGGAAGGGGGCAGAGGTGGGCCGGGACAGAGGGAGGGGCCGAGACCACCAGACGAGGCCAGGCCGGTGCATCCCGAGGGGCTGCGGCTATGCACGGGGACGCGGCACTGTGGCTCCACCACACAGGCTCCTGCACAGAGGCGGGGGGCTGAGGGCTGGACTGGGGCAGGGCTGGGGCCTGGGGGCTTCCCATGCGAAATGCGTCTACAGCGGGAGAATCCAGCTGGAGGTTAGGGGCACAGACTCTGGGATCAGAGAGACCAGAGGCTGGCCGGACCCCTGCGACTCGGCGCATGTTACTCAGCTTCTCTGACCCTTACTTCGCTCATTGTTAGAGAGGATGACAGTACCTACCGTCCAGGTCCAGATCGCTGTGAGGATTAAACGAGACGAGGGAGCTAAAGAGCTCAGCACAGCGCCCGGCACAGCGTAGGTGCTCAGGGAAATGCGCTTACCACTTAGCTACTTTGGGAAACAGAGGGAGAGCGAGTCTTTCTCCAACCAAAGCCAGGTCAGTCCCCAGGCCCCGTCCTCAGCACCGAGGGCCCCAGGGGGCAGCAGCAGCACCCAGAGAAGAGGCAGGAGCTGACTTCCCAGCAGCGGCAGCAGTGACTTCTCTGGGCTGCCCGCCTCAGCCCCCTCTGCAGGCACTCGGCCCAAGCCCAGGAGAGCCCCGGTCGCCTCCCGGCTGCCACAGGGGCTGCCCGGGCCTTGCTTCCAAGGCAGCACCGAGGGGACGTGGAAGCGAGAGCAGAGGGAGCCAGACCGTGCTGGGTGGGCACCCGCAGGCCCTTGGCTGCCCATCCTGCTCTCCTCTGGTTCTGACGGACAGTACCGCCTGGGGGTGCCCCCTGCACGTGTGCCCGGCCCCTCCTCTCCGTGCCTGGTCTCACCATCCAGTCACTGAGGCTCTTCTCGCTGCCGCCTCCCATCTGGGTGAGAGAGGGTCACGCTGAGGGTGGCGGGAAGGCCAGGGCCAGGGCCACCGGTGCGCTGGGGGCCTCCTCCAGCAGGGGCCTGCTACCGCCTCAGGAGCCTCTGTGCGCACATGTGTGTGCGCGCGTGCCCATGCTTGTGCTGGGCTGGTGGGCAGTAAAAGGGGACAGGAAGCAGCAGAGGGTGTCTCCCTGTGGGGACTCCGGAGTCCTGGACGGGCAGGGCAAAGCTTCTCCCCTACTCTTCACCCCAAGGGTCCCTGGGGGTGGGGAGCTGAGCAATCCTGGGATGGTGGAGTAGGCAGCCATTAGCCCCTCACTGGTTCTCAGGGGATTCTGATGGGCACCCAGGGTTAGGAGCATTGCTCTACCTGGTCCCCTCGTGTTTACTGATGGGCAAAGAGGAGATCCCTAGGGCCCCAGAGCAGACCGATGGTGGAGGAAGCCTCGGGTCCTGGCTCCCAGCCCATCACCCTGTGACTGCCTTCCCCGCCTGGACAGACCCAGCCCGGGGCCTGTCACATGCCATCCAGCATCCCCACCTCCCAGGACTCACTAACCCCAGGGGGCAGCCACTGGCTGCCCACAGAGTCGGCACTTGATTCCATTCTGTACATTGCTGCCTGGGATCATGTTCTGACAACCGAGAGGGAGAAAGCCTTACCCCCCAGCCAGACGTAAGCACCTGGGAGCAGATGTTCATGACCTGGTTTTAAGGAAGTCACACCCTGATTTGGTGGAAGTCACTTAAATCTCCCAAGTCGTCAGAGATGAATGAGCAGAACTTAGTCAGCGCCTGCTTTTCTGCAGGCAGTGGTGTGTGCGTGTTTCTGCCCCATGGCCGCCTGCCGGGTGGGGCAGCAGTCAGGAGACCTGCATCTAGTGCTCCTCATGCCCTTGTTGCCGTGTGCCCCTGGGCAAGTGACACCCGTCCTGGGCTGCAGCGGTCAGCACAGCCGGGCTATTCGGTCAGCCTCCGCCCCTGGGAGGTCAGGTGGCGTGGGAGGGAAGGGCTTCCTGAGTGTCCTGATTCATTTGGAGTCCTGGAGCCAGAATGATGGCCCCTGGGAAAGGAAGGCTGAGCAGCAGGGGAGCACCTCTGCTCTTTAGAGCTCCACAGGCCGTCTGGGGTTCTTGTTATCAGCACTGGCTTCCAAGCTGGACAGACCAACAGCTGTGAGATCATGGGCAAACGACCTCAATTCTAAGCCATGGTGTTCTCCTCTGTGAGTGGGAAAAACCACACTGCAGTGATGTAAAGGTTAAAAGCTTCACTGCGTGCCGGGTACTGTGCTAAGGATGTGACATCTGTGGTCTCACTTAACCCCCCTCTGTAATTAACCCCTCATCTGTAAAAGGGGATACCTTAAGGGTTTGCGTGATGACTCACTCAGTAAGCTGGGGTCGCAGAGTGCTTAGCACAGGGCACAGGCTCAACAAATGACTGCTTACAAAGAAAAATGGTGGGAGGCTCTGAGACCAGGGCGTGAATGCACTCTGCATGGCAGCAGGTCCACAACGTACACGGGAGGCATCTGAGTCCCTGCTGGTCCCACCTCCACAGTGTTCCAGGTCTTGCCCTGTCTGACTTGGGAATGACTCCCGGGATGCTGGGGACGCCTCTGGGGAGTCTCTGGGGATCCCTCCTGCACCCCCTGCCCCGCGCCCCACTCCAGAAGACTGGGCAGCTTCCACGGCCTCCTGACCGCTCTCCCAGCCTCCAGGCTGGGTCCTTCTAAAACGGAAGCCAGATAAACGTTCCCCTCTGCTCAAGACTGCTCAGGGCTCCCACCTCACGTGGCATAAACCCAGTCCTCCCAGTTGCCCCTCGGGCTCCGAGCACCCAGTCCCACCTCAGCCTCTGAAGCCCTACGCTGTCACCAACCCTCTCCTCTGCCATGCTGTTCACTGCCCCTGCATCTCCAGCTCCCAGGTCCTGCACTTTCTAACCACCTCCCAAGGAGCTACTCAGCCCACTTACTGGGACAGAAATTCTCTTTTCCCTAAAGGCATCCAGAAACAAATTCAAAGGTGTAAGGACTGTACTTGGAGCTCTTGCAAGGGGGAGGGGTCGCCCACAGAGCCTGCTCAGAGTGGGCATGTGGCTATCACTCCACACAGTCCAGAAGTTAAATGGAACAAAAATGGCACCCTTGGATGCCTCCCTGTGGTCTTAGGGTCTGTTCTCCCGTCCACCTCTGTCCACACTCCTGCAGATAACAGGTCTCTGGAGGGGCAGTGAGGCCGAATACTGACTCAGCTCCCATCTGCCCTCTCAGGCTGCCTATTATAAACCACCGTGGGCATCGCTGGGCAAGCATCCCCTGGCCCTCCTTCTGGACAGGCCCCAGGGTGGTGGCAGGGCCCCTCTGCTTACCGCTCCAGTGCTCTGCTGCCGGGCATCCAGGGCTCCAGCCAGGCCATCTGTTGCTTGAGGGGCTTCGTATTTTACCCTGAAACACAGAGGCCACCGTGGCCATTACGTGCCGCCCTTGCCTTACCAGGCATGCCAGCTGACGTGAGGACAGAGGCGGCTGAGTGGGGATGAGCTGGACTCACAACCCGTGTGGACTTGGGACACGCCTGGGCAGGGGCGGCTCAGACCTCAGGAAGTGTGCCAACTCTGCAGGCCTGCCTGAGGATGGTAGGAAGGGTCTCATTTCCTGCCTTTGGGAACCGGGATCAGACGTGTGACCCGCATGACAGGCAGAGCAAGGCTGGAGAGGGGAGGGAAGGTGTTGGGGGCCAAAGACCAAGACCACCAACCTCCTGTGACCAGATCTGGGTGAGAAATAGCGTCACTGACCCCACAGCCATAGAGAATTTGCATCTAGACCCTTTTCCGAGCTGCTCCCATTCCATAATTTCAGAAATCATGGTTCTGTGCAAGGCTGCATTTGAATGGGGGAATCCCATTCTGCAGCTGAAAACAAACATGCAGACTGCGGGTGAGGATTCTGAATGTCCTCTGGGGGAGGCCGGCCGGCAGGTACTGGGAGGAAATCGGAGCTGACACCACAGCTTCCGGGCAGAGGAGGACGGGGAAGGAGGTGCCTGTGGTGTCTCAGGTGAGGTTCCAGGGGGAGCGAGAGAATAAACCAGGAGTGGGAGGAAAACCTGTGCTAACGAGGGGGCTGGGTGTCTCTCTGACTGCTACAGAGGGGACATCCAGGGGAGGCTTTGGGGACTCAGCCCCGGCACTGGGAAAGAGCAGGTATCCTCGCCCTGAGCTGCTGGCAGAGAGGAGGTGAGACCGGGTCAGTCATTGAGGCACAGACGAGGGCCCGGAATTCCAGCCTCAACGGGAAAGCCAGTACAGATAGAGACGAGGGCTCTTCTTCCAGGTGGGGCGGGTTGGGGAGCATTTCACCCTCTGCTGGAGCCAGGGCTGGTCCAGCTCGAGGCTTCAGGAGCCGAGACCATAGCACGGGTGACTCTCACAACGCCAACCTGCCCTCCTGGGGACTGGGTAGACTGGCACTTAAACAGGCCTCTTGAGCAAAAGCCCCAAATTCTCAGGCAGCCTCTCTGAAGAGCAGCCGTCCGCTCCACCCACAGGACCTGGAGGCAGCCAGGAGAGTGCGCTCATCAGCGAGCTCACCGCCCCCCACCCCCCAACAACTGGCGCCCATGCAAGTGGCTGCGGCCAAGCTGAAGGCCGGGCGGCAGGCGGGGCTCTGGAGGGCAGCTTAGCACCCCTGGCTAATTGGGGCAACAAGAGCTGGCGAGGAGGAGGAGATGCCAAAGCCTGAGCAGCGCATCCTGACTCAGGGAGGCCCGCTGACTCTGGGGTGGAAGTGGCCGTGCACCTAAGATGCAGTGGGTGTGCTGGGGCGAAAGGCAAGGATGAGGCATGCCCAGCCCCAAGAATGTACAGAAAACGACGATGCCCTTCATTCAAAAGAACCATGTGTTCCTTCCTAATTACTGCCCACCACCTCGGCTTTTCCATCTCTCTCCTGCTCTCATACAGCCCCCAAGGCCAAAGCCTGGCCATCCCTGGGGGCCGTGCCTGCAGCGGTGGGGCCCACACGACGCGCACGGGACTGCCGGCCCTGTGCCCAGCGCAGGAGGGAGGAGGGCCACCCCTCAGGTGGTCTCAGTGAGGCTGGGGGGCAGGGGCTGGACCCGGGGCCACTTGGGGTGACACTTGTCAGTGCCTGAAGAAGACACAGCGGCACTGGGGAGCAAGTAAGCGTGGAAGACGTTGAGAAAGAGAGCACCCTTGGGCTTCCCTGGTGGCGCAGCAGTTAAGAATCCGCCTGCCAATCAGGGGACACGGGTTCGAGCCCTGGTCCGGGAAGATCCCACATGCCACGGAGCAACTAAGCCCGCGAGCCACAACTACTGAGCCTGAGTGCCACAACTACTGAAGGCCACGCACCTAGAGCCCCTGCTCCGCAACAAGAGAAACCACCGCAATGAGAAGCCTGGGCACCGCAACGAAGAGTAGCCCCCGCTCACCACTTAGCCCGCATGCAGCAACAAAGACCCAACGCAGCCAAAAATAAAAATAAATAAATTTATTTAAAAAAAAAGAGAGCACCCTTGCTTCTGGCCAAACCTGGCTAAGGCGACCCTAACTCTGCTCACTCAGATGTCCCCATGGCTCTACTTGGCATCCTGAGTGGAAGAGCCTGGTCAGCTGGTGAGGCCGTGATTGTGCCGGCTGTGGTTGGCACAGGCCAGAGGGAGGCATGGGACAGACACTCGGTGGGCAGAAGAGGTCTTGGAGGGTTCAAGAGCCCCAGGGTACAGGGCAAGGTGGGGAGTCCAAAGGCCAGCCAGGTGACCAGGGCTAGAAGACCCAGCTGATGCATCAGAGAGGGACGGCCAGGCAGGCTGGCAAAGCAAAGAGGAGGCTCGGGCACACTCCCATCCCGCAGGGCACTTTCTGCTGGGGTGGAAACCCCTCCCCAGGGAGGGCCTGCAGGAGGACCCATGACCTGAGACGGTATGTGCTGCCCTCGCAGTACGTCTTCCCTGGCCCCGACGTCTCACGTTCTCCCCTGTCTCTGACCCTTTGCACGTACTGTTCCATGGCCTGAAGTGGCCGCCTTGACCTCCCCACCGCGTGGTCCAGTCCTGAGTGCCCTCTGGAGAGCTGCACGCCCCTCCTCCGAGTCCACAGTGCTGGGTACGCCCCTCCAGGACGGCACCTGGCACTGCACAGCAGTGGTCCACATGCATGTCACTCCCGCTGTGAGACTGCGGGCCCCAGAGGGCAAGCTCGGGGTGCGCTTTTCTCTGTTCTTCAGGACCCCGCTCCCGAGGAGTGACAGTGCAGCAGCAAACCTCAGCCAGGTTGGGGCTCTCAGGTAGGCTGCCCTCCAGGCTGCAAGTCCCACCAGACTCATTAGCCTGCAGCAATACAGCAGCCTCAGTGTGCCCCTAACTCCGAGGTGACCGTGAGCCACTGGTCCTGGAGTACCTGGGCTTGGGAGTATAGGCTCTGCCCCAGCCTAGAGGTGCGGCTCACAGCGCAGGGCTGGTTAGGCTAGTGGGCAGGGCTGCGAGCAGCCTGTCAGGTTCCACCTGGATTGGCCAGGGTGGAGAGGGGATCCCTGGGCCCTCTGGAAGCCCATCAACAGTCCTCCAAGACACCAGAATGACCACTAGGGAGCTCGGGAGTCGGCTGGGAAGGTCCCTTAATCCAGAGCTTTCCTTGGCTGTACCTCCTGGTTGCCCTGGGGCTATAAGCAAAGGGGCTGATAACAACCTCAAGCAAGCTACTTCCAGCCTGTATGGAGCCGGTCCTGGGAAGCTGGGCCTGGTGGACACTCGGCCGCGTGCCTCGGCTGCTGAAAGCATCTCCCCGATGGAGATGGACAGTCCCAGAGAAGGACAGAAGCCCAGCTCCAGCGCAGAGCAGGTAGACTTGGGTGGGGTAGCAGGACTTCTCTGACTGGTTACGGAACAGCAGAAATGACTGGACCAGCCCCCGAGGGCTTGGTACACAGCCTACAGTGCAGTGGAGAGCTGGGCTGGGCTGGAGGCACTGTGTTTTGGAACCAGGTGGCCCTGGGTTCCCAACCTAGTGCCTCCAAACATTAGCTGCCTGACCTGGGGCAAATGACCCAGCCCCTCAGTGTCTCGGTTTCCTCATCTGAGTGGATGATGTAAGATCCTGGCACCTAGCTGGTCATCAACCTACGGGCATCCCTCCCCGCATCCATCACTGCCTGTAGGGCACAGGGTTCCCCGGGCCTCGCAGGATTGGCTCGGGGGAAAGAACTCTGCTACCCTGAGGGGGTGCAGGCAAGGGCTGGTGTGCCCACCAACAAACTGGGCTCAGGGACCTGGAGAGAGGCCCTCCCCTGATAGGGGGCGACCCAAACTGCAGGGGCCCAGGGCGGGGCCCGGCCACTCACTCTTTGCGTTGGTCAGCCAGCGAGCTGCCCCGTGTCAGCGCAAACATGTCAAACTCATCTTCCAGGCGGCCAGAGGTCTCCAGAGACTGCAGGCCAGCCCTCACGCTGCTGGAGCCCAGGTCTGCGGGGACAAAGAGGCCACGTGAAGGGTCTGCCTGGCTGTCCTGGGACCCTGAGCCATGGCTGAGCTGCTCCCTGCCGGGCCCAGGTCGGTTCTGGAGAAGCAGTGTGGCCTGGAGTGGCGGTGGGGTCGGGGCGCGTGGGGCGGGCCACCTGCTGGCTGAGGGGCCAGGGGCAAGTCACTTCCTCTCCCTCAATTACTTCCAAGGGCATGAAGCAGGCAGCCAATAACGCTAATCATGGTGACAACGGTGGTGATGGCTAATGCTTACCAGGAGTGGACTCTGGGCCTGGCCCTGGTCTAAGCCCGCTCTGTGCAGAAGCTTATCCAGGCCTCACGATGACCTGTGAGCAGGGCCCATTCCTGCCCTCTGTAGAGGAGGAAAAGGGCCCAGGATGTCCAAGTGATGTGCCCAGGTTCACCAGATTCAGGCCAGGGGGAATTCACTGTGTTGATGGGAAATCACACAACAGTGGGATTTCTGAGATCTGAGGGGGCTCAGGAGTTGTGAGACTGCAAGGGAGGGTCCCCTGTGTTTTGTCCTGGCTGCTCAGCCTTGCAGGAAGATTCAGCACTGGACCCTGGCGAGGAGGGGTCTGGGCCAAGATTCTGCTGTTGACACTCCAGCTGCAGCTGTGTAATGGGACGGCACCCCAGAGCTGCAGGGGTGTCCGCAGTATGTAAGGTACCCTCAGCCCAGAAACCCGCACGCTGCACTTACTCATTCCCGCCAGCTGGGACGAGAGGCTGCTGGTGGCTGCAGGGTCAGGGCCCATGTCGATCAGGTCAGCGGCCACCTCGGCCTCGCTTGGGGCCTGGGGGCAGGGGAGAGGCCACTGTCATCCTCCCAACCTGACCTGCAGCCTCATTCCCTTCTGTCCTGAAGCACTGGCGCCTTCATTCTTTGCCTGAGGATCTGTCACCAGCAATACCCCCCCCCCCCCCCCCCCCCCCAGCCACTGAGAACCTCTAATCTACTTTCTGTCCCTATGAGTTGCCTATTCTAGAGGTATTTCATGCAACCCCAACACACACCCCGTCCCTGCAGCAGTGATTGGGAGTCAGGGAGTCTTTCTCCCTCCCCTTGGCCTATCTAGCTCAGCTGGAGGCCTGGGAGGCTCAGAAGACCCTGGGGCATCAGCTGGTGGCAGAACGTTATCTACCCTAATGGCACAATGACATAAAAACTGAGAAGGGGCCCTGTTGGAGATTCTGGCTAAGAAGGCACACCCCAAGCAGGACACCTGGGGAGGGAAGCGGGGGGTGGGGGGTGGGGGGGGCCCAGCCCTCCTCTTCCCATTATCATGGAGAAGCAGCTTCTCACCTTGGCAGTCTGGCCTGTTCGGAAGCGTTCAAACCTACGAGACAGAAAAGACCTGAGTCAAAGAGAAGGACCGCGTGGCCCCTCAGCACAGCCAGGCCAGAGCTTTTCCCACTGCAGGTCTCAAAACCAACAGAGTGGGTCACAAACAGGGTGATGACACGGCCTGGTTTAGCCTGGACAGATCCGGTTTATGCCTGCTGCCCCAGGAAAGTATTAGTAGGGCCTGTTTTTCACTTGCAAGTGTCCCAATTAGATTATCAATTATCTGGTCACCTTAGTCACCATCAGCATTAAATAAACAGGAATAGACTAAAGCAGAAAAGGAAGCGGGGGTGCGCGCACACAGCGAATGTAGGTACTGTTTTTTGGAACTTGTTTGGTAACACATTTGCGTGTGTGCATGTGTGTCTCTAAAGCGGTGTAAGGAAGACACACCTCTTACACTGCTCTATGGAGCCACTTAAAACCGCCCTAGACAGGTCAAGGGGCTGGTGGGCAGACTGAGGACTTTGGTCTGAGATCTGTTCCTGACCTGGCCCTGTCCCTCACCGTGTGACCTTAGGTAAATCACCTCACTTCTGAACTTCAGTCTCCTGTCTATTAATAAGCGGGTGACAGTGGAACCTGCCTCCCAGGTGTGAGGATCAAGTGAACCACCCAACAAACGTTAAGGTCTGATGAATAGGTGTCAGAGGGGTCCCAGTCACCCCTAGATCGGGCCCTTGGGCCACCTCACGGCCCGCACGGCAAATGGCAGGGGCACCTTAGTCCCACCAGGTCAGCGAGCAGAGAGAGGCCGGCCTGCCATGGCCCCGCCCCTCACCTGATTCAGAATCACTCAGCAAGTGTTTGCTGATGGATAAAAACACGAAATGAACCAGGGGCTGGAGGCGGCTGGCATAACTGGTACCCTGTGCCAGACAGCCTGACCATCGAGTGCTTTATAGGCATAACCGCACGGGCCCTCAGTTAGCTACAAGGAATCATGAGCTCCGTTTTACAGATTCAGAGGAAGCGTGGGGGACATCATTTCTGCAGGCCCAGCACCTCTCCCTGCCTTTGTAACAGCACCTAAGTGCTCCTCTGGGGAGCTGCTCCCCCCATTTCCTGTGATCCCGGCGGGACTGTGGTCAAGGGGGCCTGTCCCCTCCCACACCTGTGTCCCACAAGGACGCTGAGCCAATCAGAGTTTCTCGTGGGGAGCTGACTCTTGGACAGAATGGTACAAGGTGGGCAAGCGTTTGGAGCCCATGTATTCATGATGACACCCTGGGGTCACGGTCCAGGAGTTTCTGCCCCAGAGGCCCCTGAACTGCCCTGGCATCTGTCCTTCCTGCCCCACTGGGAGGCCTGACTTTTATTCTTCTTTGGATTCTGAAAGCTATCCATTCAATAAAGGCTGTTCTCCTAATGACTTCTTTTTCTGCTTAAGTTAGAAAGCTTAAGCTGTGATCCTGGATGCAGGGACGCAGGCGGCAGGAAAGGAGGTGTGGGGTGAAGGGTGGGTGCTCCTGCCTATGCTGGACGAAGACAGCTGAGGGCACGTGTGCCGGGCGGCTGACCTGGTGTTTGAGAGGGACGTGAGAAGCCAGAGGGTGTGAACAGGGGAGAAGGGAAGGAAGGTGGGGCGGCTGGCCCGGGGCGGGGCAGACAGCGGGGCTACCGTTCGTGGCGCAGGAAGACGTTGTTGAGGTTGTCGTTGACGATGAGTAGCTCCTCGGTCAGCTGCTCGTTGGCGACGCGGGGGATGAGCTCCAGGACCCGCTGCTGCATGGCCCGGCATGTCCGGTTGAGCTCCTGCCAGGGGAGGAAGTGAGACAAGCACGGCTGCTGGACCCGGCGCGAGGCCGTCTCTACCGGACGCCCGGCCCTGGGCGCACCTTGGAGGCGCAGAGGCTTCCAGACTGGACTTCAGGTTGCACAGAAGAGCTTTCGGGGTCCTACGGACGAGCACTGGCGTCTCATTTCTAAGTGTTTAGCACACAGGAGACGACCAACGTGGGGGCCGTGCTGTGGGTTTAACCTGGCTGTGCGGCCCTCAGGGTGAAGCTCCTGCCCTCACCTCCTCATCGCGGAAAAATCAAGACTGTGAGGTGGCTGGTGGAACACCTGCCACTTCTCTGGGTGCACTGAGGTTTTTTGTGACCGAAGCATAAAAAATAAACTGGATGATCCGACTATTATCCCAACTCTGAATGTTTGCCTCATTACTTTTTTTTTTTTTTTGCGGTATGTGGGCCTCTCACTGCTGTGGCCTCTCCCGCTGCAGAGCACAGCCTCCGGACGCGCAGGCTCACGGGCATGGCCCACGGGCCCAGCCACTCCGCGGCATGTGGGATCTTCCCGGACCGGGGCATGAACCTGTGTCCCCTGCATCGGCAGGCGGACTCTCAACCACTGCGCCTCCAGGGAAGCCCTCTAATTTCTTTTTTAATGCTTTTTATTTTGGAATAATTTTAAATTTACAGAAAAGTTGCCAAGATAAGACAGCACAGGGGTTCTTCACCCAGCCTCTCCTTAGTTCGGCATTTGTCAAAACTATGACATTAATGTGGGTACAATGCTGTTAACTAACTACGGACTTTATTCAGGTTTTACCAGTTTTTCCACTAATGTCCTTTTTTTCTCTGTTCCCACATTGCATTTAGTCACCACGTCGCCAACTGACTTTTAATCAGTTAGTGTTATGTATTTAAACTTGTTTGGGAAAAAGAAAAAAAAATAGAAGCCGAAGCATTTACAGGCTTTTTATTTGTAGGACTGAGTGTTTCCGTCCTCAGGTGCCTGCCATCAGGTGGACAGGGGCCCGGGTCACGGTCCTGAGGTCCCAACAGATAGTCGGGCACTGCTGACTGTGGCCACGTGCCAGCACTTTTCTCCTGGCATCATGAAGACCACTGATTTTGGTTCTTTTCAGACCCTGCTGCCCCCGCCTCCCCCCAGGCCAGACCCTCTCCCGGGATTTCCTCTCTCCCCTGAGCGTGGGGCAGGGCAGGCCCAGGGGACCTTCCAACATCCTGCGGGCCTCCCCTCTCCTCCCCCCGTGACCAAGAACACCGCAGCCTTGTCCCGACTTCCTTCCCTGCCCCTCTCAAGAGCAGAAGAGCGGCTGGTGGAGCCAGGGTCCTGGGTTCATACCCCAGCTCTGCTGCTGACCAGCCCTGTGACCCTGGGGGCATCCCATGACCTCTCTTTGCCTCAGTTTGCTGACCTGGGATGTGAGGATAACAAGAGTACCTACCTCATGGGGGGGAGGGGGAGGATTAAGTGAGTGAATGTATATCACGTGTCCACATCAGAGCCTGGCACACAGGACATGCTCAGTGTGCATCAGCTGTCCCTGTGTCACCCCTGCCTGCCAGCCAGCCTTCTGAGTCCCCAAAATCGCTCATACCCGCAAGGCCTTGGCTTGGGACACCCAAAATTAACTGCGCTACAGCAATCCTGCCGCTTCCCAACTCACTCAAGCTTCTGTCATTTATTCTTTAAAAAAAAAAAAAATTTTTATTTTTGGCTTTGCTGGGTCTTCGTTGCTGCACGAGGGCTTTCTCTAGTTGCGGCGAGCAGGGCCTTCTCTTGTTGCGGAGCACGGGCTCTAAGCACGCGGGCTTCAGTAGTTGTGGCACTTGGGCTCTAGAGCACAGGCTCACTAGTTGTGGCGCACAGGCCTATCCGCTCTGCGGCATGTGGGATCTTCCTGGACCAAGGATTGAACCTGTGTCCCCTTCATTGGCAGGCAGACTCCTATCCACTGCGCCACCAGGGAAGCCCTGTCATTTATTCTTCATATTCGTGTGTTCACTCAACTGTGAGACTCCGACTTCACTCCCCTCCACCCTGCCCCCTGCTCCCACCATAAGGTAAGGACCCCGGAGCAAGAACACTGTGTCAGCTTGGTCGGGCCCGGGGACAGAGAGATGAGCACAACTCAGCCTCGCCCTCCAGGAATGTGAGGCCCAGCAGGAA